CATAGATCTGGCTGAAATGACCCTGCAAAGTTTGAAGACAGCGGCCTTCAGAAATGCTCCACACCCGTGCAAATGTATCGTAGCTACCGGATACAACAATGTCGCCCTTGATCTCAAGACACCGAACACTAGACTGGTGTCCGACAAGGACGTTTTTGCAGAGACCAGTTCGAATGTCCCAGATCCGCAGAGTGGTGTCTCGCGATCCTGAAATCGCGGTGTTCGCATCCGCCATTTTCAAACATCTGACAGTCGAGGTGTGGCCTCTCAAGGTATGTAAACAGGCACTATAATTCGTCAGCAAGCAATTGAAAAAAAAGAACACCACAGCTTTGCGCTTACCCAGTCTTGAGGTTCCAGACTCGCACGTCACGATCACAGCCTCCACTGACCAGGGTATCATCCCAGGGGACCATAGCCCAGACACCCATAACATGACCTTGCAGGGTGCGTTGTGAATCTCCCTCAGTGTCAAATACGTGAATCTTTGCGTTATCAAGCGCCACAATAATATACTTGGGCGTCAAATGTAAACTCGTAACAACACCGCCTTCTTGAGTAATGTTCCGTGTTGTGCTGGTACCGCCAGACCTCCAAGCAGCCTCTACCAAATATCGTTGTTTGAAATGAGACTTATAGGTCCTTAACCTGGGTCTGCCAGACGCATTCTGCCCATCAAATGATCGTGTACCCGAGGCATAGGAGTGAGGGCGCATGCCGGATAGGGTATTACTGGCGATATCGACATCAAGTCCATGAAGGGGCTGGGCAGAAGGTCTCGGAGAGAAATGAGGAGCATGCGTGTAAACCTCTGACAGTCGGCGTCCGTAGTCGTGTTTAACACAAAGATTCTTCCATGTCATATCGTCGCTCAGGAGATCTCGCCATCGCTTTGAAACCTGTGAGGCTCGTGCTAAAACCTTCGGGTCGTCAATGAAAGACAATATCTACATATCAAATGTCAGCAAATAACTTCACATCGATCAATTACAGACACCAAAGGGGCTCATACCCGAAGACATAATTCGTCTGGAAGACTTGTGAATGGATCTTTTTTCAATAACGGGCTGACAAATTGATGAACGAAACTCAATTGTTGGCTCGTACAAAGATTTAGTAAATCTGCCAATACCCGAGTTCGCTGAGGCCCGGAACAATTCTTGAAATGTTGGCGGACTTTGGCGAGAAAGAAGTCCTCATCGTCGGCAGCATCGCTCCAATCTGGTTGGAAATGCGATGGACCTGGCGATGCAGCTGGCGTGGGAGGCGGTGGGGGCGAGCCAGTAAGTTGTTGGTCAAAGTCTGCGGCGGGCGTCGACATGCTGGGAGTCGGAGGCCCGCGCAAATGACGCTGCTGTTCAGGCAGCTTTTCCAAACGGTGGTTAACCATGGGGTTGGTGGTCGTGCTAAGAGTCAAGTCGTCGCTAAGGGCGCTTCCGCGCCTTTCTGAAAAACTCATGGATCTTTGGTAACCGGCCATGACCCGATCAGTCTCCGTAAATAGAAAGGAACTGAAGTTGATTAACGACTCTGTAGCAGTTCAGAGCTTTAATTTAGGGCGCGATGAAGGCAGATTGGGTGGGTGAGGGCCGATAGTCGATATCGAAGATACGTCGAAGATGGATCGTGAGTGGGGGAAACGGAGAGCGAGCCGATGCGAGGCCTCTGCCAGCAAATCGTGGAGGATGTCAGCACATATAGAATTGAACAGATCGCTAACAATGGTGCTGGAACATTATTCAAATGATTGCGCTGGCATCAAGTTTAAAGGAGATACAGATATTGAAAAGAAAAAGGGTGTAGGAAGTAGAAATCAACGGTGAATGGCGGCGATAGTGACTAAGTCAGAGAGGGATTGTGGAGAGTCAACTCGACAGGCAGGAGATGGTGCGGTACAGTACAGTGCGGTACATGCTATCCAGGGACGAAGACTTGGACGGAGACGGGGACGGGAATGCCTCTCTGGTTGTGTTCTAGGATCGCAATCTTGGCTTGAAGAAGAGACCTAGGACTGGCTAAAGACCTAGGCGCGTGGGTCTTGTCGGTTGCAGGCCAAGGACAATGGCGGGATCGAGGAGGCGCTAAACGGAATTCGTGACAGTTCAGGTCCCTCTTTTTAGGAACCGTCCGCATCCCGTCAGTGGCACAAGGCAAGGAAAGCATAGGGAAGGGAACTGCTGACTGCTTTGCTTCCTTTTTACAAGTCTCAAAAGGGTTATGCCGGATGTCGCCGTGACCGGCTTATGGATGCCTCCTGAGCTGACAAAGAGAGTAGGTGGGTGGATGGATGGATATGGTATTGAACGCATCCTAAAGGTACGAACGGATAGAGTACAATGGAGAGTGAGATTGTCTTACCTGTGCAAATAGATAATAGGTTTGTCGGTCCGTCTTTGAGGCGCCGGAGTGGTGGTGGTGGAGAGGTAAATCAAACCCCGATCAGATGTAGAAGTGGAAGCGACACAAAGAGAAAGAGGGCTGAACAGGGTACATAAGGGAGTGATCAAGTAAAAGAAAGAAACAGACAACCCAAAAAAATGGTCCGTAAATGGAAACGGATCCTTGAGTTCGAATTGCGTTCCTTTTGTTTGGGGAGGTTGAAGGATTTGACAGTGATGGATTTGAGAGTAGTTAGTCGGTATTTGCTTTGGTTCAGATATCACGTTTTGGGCGACAATAAGTGCTAATTAAGCAGGAAGGAACCTATAAGAGCACCGCACTACTACCGGGCTGCCTGCCATCTTCTTTCCATGGCAGTAATTCATTAATACAAAGACATTTCGTTTGCATTCCTCACTTGATCTCATTTCCCCTTTAATGTACTTTGATCTTGCATCCGCAACCGAATTGACTTTACAGCATGAGATGCCAAACTTCTGGAACGAGTGTTTCATTTCAACAAACGGTGAAACGGGGCCAAGTCTATCTGAGCGTTTGCCCTTTGCATCTCCCCAGGAGGTCACAGCCTACCTGCTTTATATCGAACTAAGTTCGTCAGATTAAAGTGCTGCCAGCTTCTGTTGGTTCCTGCGTAGTGAAGGCCATGCACAGTTCTCAGTATTGTAGCTGCTGTTGGCTCCTTTTCAACAAATTTTGACTCATCTCATGTCTAATGTGTCAGTCATTGACTATTTATAACTTAGTCGTTACGTCGTTCTGCGGCTCAAGATGGTTGATTCAATGCGCAGGATTGATAACATGTGAGAAGATTACCACCGAAACAAAACTCTGCTTAGGGATGGACAGATGGGGTGTCTCCGCAGTTGAGATGAACTACAGCACTCACTGCAACTGCAAGCAAACATGCTGCAAGACATCGCGTCCCTTCCCCTATCCAGTCTAGCCATGTGATGGGATGTGACACTTCAAGCGGTTGACGACAAGACAGGATTGGATGCTATTTGCATCCAGTGTGTTGACGAACCCCTCTTTACAATCTTTGGGCGATCAGGTGCAATATGTCGGAGCACTAATACGAGGTTCTATGTTACCTTGATCCTATCATGACTGTTGTAAAAGTAATTATATGTTCAGTATTTGGGGTTTGTTAATAGGTATTAGATGCATAGATGCTGTACGCCATGTCGGTGGATGATGTAGGAGGAGTTACATACTACCCATGGAAGTCTAGTATGGATCAAGATTTGCCAGAAGCGTCGCCCAAGCCACGAAGCTGTGATGTCAAACAGCATCTGACGTTGCGCCCCTTGATCCAAGGAGAAAAAGAAGACGTCGGAATCTTCGCCAGAAGCGCCAACGGCGTCAACAGCCAACTTTGTCGCTCCTTTGTGAACCGCCCTCGCTATTTAACTTTTATGGTACCAAGCTAGCGACGCATCATGCCTTGGAAAAGGGTGTGCTACTGTTAGTAGAGGTCTATCAATGTACAGTACAAAATCCTCACAAAGACGTACATCGGCGAAAAAAGGACCCCTTGTCATGCCTGAAGCTAGGCCCCTTGCTAGGTAGTAGTCTAGACATTGCATATTTTTCGCAAAGGCTACTAGTCTTGCTGTGTAAGCGGACTTGGCCGAACGCCTTTCTTGGCTCCTTCGTCTCTATTCTTTATCGCTTGATCCAACGTCTTTATACCTTAGTAGTAAGGTCAACTCCACAAGGCAAACATCTATTTGATAATTGGATTAATTGCTGCTATTACTATTTTCCCTTTATCGTCTATCCAATCAACAATAAATATCAAACCAAAGGATCGGATCGGCCAATCTACAATCGCGGAGAATAAAACCCACACTCTCCACACCAAGGACAGGACCCTCTCACTCCCCTGGTCATTTGTGATTTAGTTTGGAACACTTTGCGAATCATCCAATAACTGTCAGGCCATTTTATTTATTCTGTAACTATTCTAGTCTAGTTACAGTCTGGGCAGTTGTTGATGTTAGTCTACCTCCGTACCATGAAACATGAACAGTTTGAACATGGATGCACAAACATAATACAAGCTCTAAGTACTATGTAAGTTGATAGATCTCTATTTGGATCAGACGAGATCGAAATGTGAGGCAAGAGAGATTTTGCTTAACCGAATATTTGGTGGCTATGATCTTCAGTTTCTCACGGTGACATCGGACTTTGTCATGGGTATGTATAAAAGCTCAGTTGAATATCTGTTATACGGGTATTTGAGCCTCCTGTTGAGGAGCAACCATACGTTCAAGCCTCCAAATACACCTCGAATCCATCCCTATTTGTACAGCTCTTATAGAAAAATGTATCCAGATACCCCATGTCACCCATATAAATCCCATCCTCCGACATTGTTCTTAATAACTCGAGAGTCGCTCGTATGTCTATTTTAATCAATCCATTCCCACGATAGTTTGAAAGAGCTCGCCGGCCCTGGACCAAAAAAAAAGAAACAGAAGCTTTGAAACGCGCCGAATCGATCAATAACTTGTGAAATTATATTTCACCACCCATCATCCAAGTTCCCAATGAACGCAGCACGAGACAAGACGGTTCAAGTACCCGGGAATGTCTTAATGGTGATGGCCAAACTGAGTAAGAAGCGGCACCAGCATGCCGCCCACAGTGGCCAAGGTATCACGCATCTGCGGGCCCTTAGGCTTCCTCTGAGTAGTGGCACTGCCATCCGCATAGCCGTTAAGGCCATGATCGTGTTGGTGACCACCACTGTCTTCTTGCATAGCATGCATAGCGACATATCTACATCAACGTTAGCGAAGCCCATCCTATATCGCATAGTCAAACTCACAAGAACGTGCCACCTGAAAAGAGAAGCAGCATGCCCGTCCACCAATGATCACTCTCAACCTTACCACCACCCAGCAGTGTGATAAGTGACCATGTTGTTATCGCCCCAACGGGAGCAGCCAGACTAAAAACAATAAGATGTCCTCGAGCGGCTCGTTTCGATAGGCCCTGCTTGAGGAGAAGGGAGGTAAGTCCAAAAGCAGCAGGAGCTTTGTGAATCATGATGGCTGCAAAGATGATGAAGCCAAGCTTCATGTCTGTAGTCGTCGAGGAAGCTCCCATTGCGATTCCGTCGGCTGCGGCATGGATGACCAAGCCGGTAGTCGTTGCCAAACTTCGCGCTCGTCGTGGACTAGGTGTCAAGGACCCCAAAAACCCATCCGCTTCCTCGTCGACTGAGGCGGAATCGCCGTTGAGGTTGTCAAGGCTGATATGGCGTGTCTGTGGCGCAGAATGGAGACTCTCAGTTGCATGGCGAGGTAGTCGATCAATCAGAAACATCAGTAGGAATCCTAGAATCAGGGAGAATCCGATCTCAAATGTAGGAACCGCATGCGCGTGCTCGCTCTCGTGCTCGCCTTCATGTTCGTGGTCGTGTTCCGCTTCATGATCTTCGTCGTGACCATGTCCGTCGTCTTTTTCGGTCTCTGTCTTTTCGGTCCCTTTATTCTCTGAAGCGCTGTCCTCTGTGACGTCTGCGGCCGTTGGTATAGCTGGAACATCGGCTGCGGCTTCGACAGTAGAATGAACATCTGCACGTTCGACTCGGGTATTTCCTGTCGCTGACTGCTTGGCCCGACGAATGGTCGCTTCAATATCCAATTCCTCGTCGCGTTTCTGAATCGGACCTGTGCTAATCGTAGCAATTGATTCGGGAAGGCCGCGTGCGAGAATAGGGTGGTTCCAGGGGCTTCGGCGCACCAAGCTTCTGACTCGATGCATGTGAGCAGCCTCTGCGGGTGAAGTCGCAGCTTCGATTCCTTCAGGAATAATAACTATAAGTGAGGTGCCAACTAATATTCCTACGCCAACACTCGATAATAGTCGGAGTTGAGATTGAGAAAGTGACATGGATAATGGTAGCGCTCCGGCGAGGAACGAGCTATTCGACAAGTCAGCGGCCGATGAATATGTTATATGATTTGGATATCATGATCGCACATACGCCAGAGCCATAACTAGCTATGCACAATGTTAGTATTGGTGATATAAGTGGTATACGAGTACGACTTACGCATAAGCCTAAAAGGAGAAGTATCCCACCCATTGTAAGTGTGATGTCGATCGAGGATCAAATGGGTGTGCGCAAAAGATCAAGGTTGGTACGAGAAGAGAAAGGAAAGAGATGACAGTGCCGACAGCTATCTACGCATGATGCGACTACCAGTGAGTCCCTCGGAGTGTATTCCTGTACGCGCTTATCAAGGTAAGAGGATGCGATATCGACGGCAAAGGACGATGCAAGGGCGGTAATGTAGAGGTTGGGCGTTGAGAAACAAATTTATCTGGCCTCGGTCGTCAGACATCCATTGGAGGGATGTATTGGACTGAATTGATAGTCTCAGTGCTGGACTAACTGTCGATTGGTTACTGCGGGGCATTAGACCCTTGAAATCTCCCCTAAGACCAGCTCGTGGAGACGACCTATTGATTCAGGGGGAAAGGATGTCCATGAGGAACAGTTATTGTTATTGATATAGTAGAATTATAAGTCCTCAATGCCGTTCTTATCAGGCTCGGAAGTGTAATTCTAAATTTTATTCAACCTATTTCCTAAGTTCGAATACATGTCCTTATTAATGTTGTGGATGTTCATGAGAGTTGTGGCTACAACGGCTGGGATTCAGACTTTGGTCGTGGCTGGTACATCAAAATATAATTCCAGGTGACGGCGATGAGTATTTTCAACCTCCTCGGCCATGTAACAGTGCCTGGTATTGAGACTGAACCCTGTTCAGTCACCAACCTTGCAATTTCGTTTGTTCTACTATTGCGATCTTGCTCGGTAAGTGATCTTGACCGATGGACCTACCCTGGATCTGTTGACCCAGATCTCCGAGTTGCTTACCACAGCCTTCAGTTGTGATGCAAAGTAAGTAGTATTTATCACCTTCCTGAGCAAGCTTCGAATAGACTTGTGCAATGCTTTTAATCACACATACACTTATTATCTTCAGCCAGTTGTTCTCCCTTCCGTGTCTTCTGACCTTCAAGTCTTCCATGACAGGTACCTATCCGCGGATGCGTGGTGTTTTCAACAAAGAGGTTGATTTGTCCCACTAGGTAAAATTTCAATGAATTTTAATAATAGTATTAGTCGACCTCTTACTGAATTTAAATTAAGATAAACACATTTGCTGTAGCTGTAACACAGCCACTGGTTCGTCTTGAACCATCAACCAAGTACACGGTATAAATTCACGGGTTCACCTAAACCGACCCACTATCGAAACTTCAACTTACATCCTCCGGTTCTCAACTTGCAAGCGAAGCAGGCTCGATGCTGCCGAATCGCACTGCCGTCACATGATGGGGGAAGCCGAGCAATCCCCTCGAAGACGTCACATTCTCTCCTCCATCAACCCCGAGCAACATCGAAGCAGCAGAAGGAGGAGCCGATCACCAAAGTCTCCATCTCCAGTTGACGTGAAACGAGAATCGTCGCTCGATGCACCACTAGGAAAAGAGAGTGACAACGCCCGGCGCAACGATGGAGAGAGAGATACTACAGCTCCAAGACGCTCACGTCTTCGGCTGAAGGACCATCACAGATCTCGTCGCAGCTCTCGCGACCGGCATCGATACCGCGAGCGGGATAGCGAATATGATACTCACAGACGATCGCATCGCCGTCATCACCGACGCCATCGGCGACATCGCTCACCGACACCACCGAACCCTCATGAACCAGAACCATTAGACCCAGAAGCGGCATTTCGAGAATCTCTGTTCGATGCCATGGCCGATGATGAGGGTGCTGCATACTGGGAGGGCGTCTATGGCCAACCCGTTCACGTTTATACTAAAGAGCGCGTGGGACCTACAGGACATCTGGAACAGATGACAGACGACGAGTACGCTGCTTACGTACGGGAGAAGATGTGGGAAAAGACACATGCCGGTTTACTCGAGGAGCGCGCTCGCCGAGAAGAAGCAAAGAAACACAAAGCTGAAGAGGATCGCCGCGCGCGAAAACTGCAAGAGGACATGAATCGCAGCATACGCCGTGGTGAAGAGCGCAGAGAGCGCCGGCGTTGGGCACACCAGTGGGAAGACTACACAACTGCCTGGACGGAGTGGAACGGCACACCTGCAACAATAGCTTGGCCGGTAGAAGGCAATCGCATGGAAGATGTTGAAGAGGCGACCGTGCGCAAATTCTTCGTCAATGGGCTGAATCTACAAGAGATTGGAGAGAAGGCCTTCGTGGCCAAGCTCAGAGACGAGCGTGTGCGATGGCATCCGGACAAGATCCAGCAAAAGCTGGGAGGAGCGGTGGATGACGATACAATGAAAGGTGTAACTGCCGTCTTCCAGATCATTGATAAGCTCTGGACGGATAGTCGACCAAAAACGTGATCGCAATACTATTCAATTACATCCGACACGCAACAAACACAACAAATTAGAGAGACCAATGATGAACTTGGTAAATAAGAGAGATCCCGTTACAGCATTCTGAATATTATTTGTTTAGGAAGTGCAGTTGTTGATAGCGAATACCCTTTCAGAACCCTTTCAGAAGTAGGCTGTGCTACGAGGAGACTCTTTCAGGATCTAGTGACAACTCAGCCTCAATAGTATTGTTATTGGACAAGTAAAGCCAATACGGTAATCGATTAAAGGGTAGCTCTATATTGTGCCCTTCTTGATGCAGTTATTGAAAAAGCCGCCCTCAGACGACTCATCAGTCATGCGGTCAGTCTTGCCTAGAATCTCGGTCAAGGTCGAGCACGACCATACTCAAATCCAGATATAACAGTTGAATTGCCACTTGAAGTTCCGGAGCTGTTATGTCTCACTATTACGACAGTGAGTTGTTAATGTGAATAATTGGCACTCTATGCTCAAAGGGTACTCAAGATGAACATCTTCTTGAGGACCCCTAGTCTGGCTGAATGATCAACCAACATCGCAGCTCACACCTCACGTATAACACAAGCTCGCAGAAGTCCGCCACGCTGAGCTAGAGTGAGACAACGGCTGAGTGAGCCCAAGGGAGGCTGAAACGAAGGCAACGTAATTTTCGCAAACTGTCTGATATAAGCATTAGAGGAATCAGATTCACCCTGCGTTAGCCACTGCAGGATACTCGTGCGCGTCTTTCTTGGAATTGGAATGCAGATCACATAATAAATGGCCACTTCCTTGTTCAGCCTGAGTCAACATAGCACAGTCTTTACACATCTTATTGTTCAACTGGTTGGAGGGGCTGAACATATTGTCTTGCCATGTCACTCGGAATCGTTCCCTTGGGTGGTTTTCAAGGCACATGTGGAATAGTTAAGTCAGAACTAAGTATACAGCCAGCCACAATGCTTAGTAGTCTTGTGTGTAGTCGAGCTGAAGAGTGGCACGTAATAGAAACCAGCCTTGCAAGAATTAGACTGAAATATAACCTTAGTTTTGCAACGGCTGAAAGCCTAAACGGCGTCAAGGAAACTTTATCAATCGAGGCGAGTATAATTCACAAACTTATGGTAGATTATGATTGTGGGGATAAATTCAAAGATGTATTATTAGCAAAGCCATATGCCACAGCACCCAATATAGGCTTGTGCGTAGTTTTCGTCCTTCGCATAAACTATCTATAGGTCCTAGGATGGATATGTTTGTGAGAACACAGCGCTGATTGATAGCTTTCAATAAGAGAATTGTATCCTACACAACCAGTACCCAATCCTCCCCTTTTCATTGTGCCAACAAGAGATAGATCAGTGGCGCTAACTGATCAATATCACGAAACCCGCTATATGTAATTCATGGTAAACATTCGTCGAATCAAGATGAACAACCGAGAACCCAGAAGGTCCGAGTTTGAAATAATAGTGTTAAAGCTTTGGCCTTATCCGTTTCATTAATTGCTGTGTATTCTGCCATGTTGTACAAAAACCATTTTACATGTTGACAAAGAGAGCGGCACCACCCATGAGTGCCCCCATAGCGACAGCAGCGGTAGGCATGGCACCAGCGTTGTCATCAGTAGCACTGCTAGCAGCACCGGCAGCGCTGCTGGCGATGGCACCAGCCTGGGAGGTAAGGCCAGCGATCTCATCGGCGATAGAGGAGCTAGCAGCGCCGGTGGCAGTCTCGGCAGCAGAGCTGAGAGAGTCGAGCTTGTCCTGAACAGACTCGGAGGCCTCGGCAAGGGCTGAGGTAACGCTGGCAAGAGCGCTGGTGTCGACGGTCTGGGATCCAGTCTCGGTGTCAGATCCAGTCTCGCTCTCGGTCTCAGCAGACTCGGTGACGGTAGAGGCGTCGGTCAGAGTAGTGGTAGCACCGGCGACAGCAGTGGAGGCATCGCTGAGGCGAGAAGAGACCTCGTCTTCAACTCGGGTGGAGACATCCTCAATGATAGACGAGGCATCACCGATGATGGAGGAAGCACCCTCAACTCGGGAAGAGATGTCGCCAATGATGGAAGAGGCCTCGTCAACGCCAGGAATATCGATGGACTGGGCCTGTTATTTGTTAGTAAATGCATCTTTTGTTGATATAATGAAGAGGCATCATACCTGAGCGTAGGCAGTGAGGGCGGCGAGGAGAGCGACAGCGGAGTACTTCATGATGTCGGTGGTGGTGGTTGATGTTGATAGCTGGTTGTTTGGTAGCGAAAAGAGTGTTGATGGGGATTTGATAGTCCGATCTGAATTCGATAACAATGTATGAGAAGGAAGAAGGAAAGAAGAGTAGACAAGAGACTGGAGGTCAGGACATCTTATGTACACAAACTATCCATGCTGCTATGCCATCAGTTTGTCTACACACCTAGACCACGACTTATATGTGCACACCTCTTCACCCCGGACTGTCCGCCCTTAGTCCGGGGCTTGGCGATTCGTATGTTGGAGCAGTGGAGGCACGTCTATTCATACATACTTAGGTCATACCAGTACAGCCAGCGGATTCCAACTGTACCTGGATCCCAAGTATGTATGTCCGTGCCCGGGCAATCAGGTTTGTTTCTTACACTCGATTGATGTCAGTCGTGACCGCAACCAACTGCAACTGCTAGCTGGACGCCATACTGCGCTGTGCTTTATTATAATGCACTGCACCCAGTCTGCACTGCAGTCGTTCTCAGGCTTCAAGCTGTGTTTTGTCTAAATTGAACGCTCGCAAGGTTCGGCCAACGTGCCTGAGCTCTGATGCTTTCAAAATAGGTACAGTACGTACATGAAATGCCTTCAGCTGCGCCTTAGCTTATGCAAGGCAAAATGTACCAAGGAGAGAATCCTATGTTTCAGCTCAGCCTACATAACTCCGGAAATAAACAGCTAAGCAGAGCCTGCTGGACGTTGTACAAATGCTGTATGTATTACTAACTGCCCGCGTGATGCTGAGCCTCAAGCCGACGCGGCATGCATTGAACCCCAGCAAGACCGTCGGTGTACAGACACCCTGGTCCAGTATCCGTATGTGTTGTGGACAGAGCATAATAGGATCCTCGCTTGGAGCAGTTGCCCGGTTGGTTACCCAATTCGTTCAACAGAGAAACTAATCAAAGACTTCGTCAAGTGATGACATTATAAGATTCAAGTTCGCGAGTACCTGCATAAGATTCCGCAACCAGGGGTTCAGTGCCAACCTCACATCTCGGTTTCAGAAAAACCGGTAATCGAGCAGGATATGATATCGAAATGAAAAACTAAAGAGTTGAGAATCATGAACCATCTCGTATGGTATTGCTTGGCTGCCAGGTATACCCTGTAGCCGAGTACATGCACACTGTATTGCTTGGCCATATACCATCATCGTCCATCGCGATTCCGTGCATATGTCGTGCCAGACTCTAGACAGACTAGCGCAACCCCTGGGCAGTTGCAGCTATGGCTATGTACTGTACTGCACGGTTAATAATGCTCTAGCGGTGGGATTTGGTAGACGAATTGGGTGATTTTCCTGGGACCAAGATCATGTTGAAGTTAGCCTATAGACGAGTTGGTTGAAGCCGAAATTCCGTAAGGATTCAAGAAACTTGTTCTGACGTTATCAACTGTGGAGTTGTCAAGGTATCACCATCCAGGTATGGATTTGCAGCTGTACCGAAGAATTGCGCTGGATACATACCAAATAAGGCAACACAAGGTTGTAGTCAGCAAAGAAGATGATCGAATGAGAAAGGGCATGTAAGAGGTACCTCTACTAAGGGCAGTCAGGTAGCACTGCTGAAAGTTGAATATTCCCTTCCCTTTAACGTAATCATTGCTGACTATTTGCGTCACAGTGGGGTCCGGGAAGGTCCACACTTTGTTTGCAGTATCCGTACTCGAGAGTCCTCTTTCTTTGTTGCTGGTCCTGCTGATGCTTTTACTCCTGTTGATGTTTGCTGACGGGGGCTGTTTTGCACCGGCATAAAGCATGAGCCTTGCGGCATTCTTTACTAGGGTCCATGTCAACCATTCCTCTAATAGGTCAGCAGGATTATCTTGGAACTTTCCGACCTTGTAATGGTAGCGTAGAGTACAGAAGTTCCCCGGACTTGTCCAGCAACAATTCGTCAACTTTTCAGCTCTGAGGCCAGAAACATTGACCATAATACAGTGCAGTACAGTGTAGTATCTTAGTTGGATATGGAAGTTAGCCGGGTTTTGTCTTTTACTCTCTACACATAACCATCGTGCTTTTTGGATGCTCGACACTGTGCTGTATATCCTTTACAGCACATAATTCAAAGCAAGCCCCATCCCATCCCTACCTCTGGACAATACCGTAGCGTAATGAACAACGTACGAATATGAAACAATGCACTAAAATCCAACCATCGTGGACCAATTCCTAGTGGAAAACTTCAACTTTTAAGCTTCAGGAACCCAGGGAGAAGACGGAGGGGAAAGGTAAAGTTGTGTCAACACCTGGATAACAGACACTTTATTAACCTAAAGATTGACTGATGTACAACAATGCAACAGTGGGAACTACCGCCGACAAGGGAGCATCTTTTGTGTCTGAGTCTAAAATGGACCTTGTCAGCATCATATTGCAATTGCTCTAATATTCAACCGCCTAACAGGCAATCTCATGTCTTAGACGAAAGACTAGAGCGTTTACTCTGTAGATGCTCGTTTGTAAGGACAATCCTGATTTCGCTTGGATAATTGAGTCAGTAGGTAGGGAACTACCTGGTGCTCATCACCTTTTCTTTCCTTTCTTTTCTTGTTTCTAGTACCTGAATCCCTGAACGCGTGGCACGCGACACACGGAACAAGCGTAAACTCCTTAGCTCGTTGCCTCCCTTGGCAGGGTTAATGGTTGGAAACACAAGCAGTCAGCAATGGATGAATGACAATGACCTGACTGAGGATCTTTGATATTACAACACTGTGCTAATAAAATCACATACTCTGCGCGAAACGAGAAGCATTGACCAGCATGACCAATTCACATTTCAACCAGCAACTTGCTTGACCCAGTAACATCAAAGCATCATCACGAAAGGCTGACTGTTCACAACGCAATACATACCCACGTATTCTTACAACTTGTACTTACTTGGACGCCACCCAATCCAGAAGCCTGCCTTGCCTTGTCGTGTCCGGCTTGGCCTCGACGCCACACACGCCCCTAGGTGTTCCACTTTGACTCCAGTTCTCTCTGTACAACCACAAAATCTCATTGCCATAACCCCGGCTTGGCATCTTGGATCTCCATTACAGCATAAAGTTGCCTTGCTTGACATTTTTCATCAGTGCTCGCCAAGCCCATACCAAGCATTGCATTCGAATACTCCAACAAGTTTCCCTGCTTTCTCGGCCTGTGTCGCCCTCGATCGAGATGCAATGCATAAGTGGGCTGACCAGTCTGTCTCCATTCCATCTTCGTGATTGTGACGAAAGGGGGTTCTTCTGCTAGGTAGTGAGACAAGCAATAGACAAGCTCACGACTACTGCATGCAGACTGCAACGAAATGTAATTAGAAGAACCTCAAGGGCCCGTGTGCTATTCACGCACTTATATTCGATAGTCGTTCTGCAGAAAGTATTGCATATAGTGTTGTCAAAGGCTAACTCCCGAGTACCGGAGACAATTTCGGTTGACAAGACCGTTCATTTGAACATGCCTTTTTTGAGTTCCTCCACTATTTCAGCCGCTTCCAGCGCACTGCGGGCTTCGAAATCATAGCGTTTGCTTTCCGTCGCCTTGTATACAACAAGCTATTTTGGGCATGTTTAGTATTGAACGATCATGAAATATCGAGTAATAAACTCACCTTGACGTTTGTGGGATGCTTTCGGAGGACTTTGCACCCAACTACGTTACTGAAGTGTACTGTTGTTGTCTTACCTGAACCGTCGTGTAACGCCTTACCACCAGATGCTGGCATGATGTGTATATATTCGCCATCTATCACCAGAATACGCTCGCTCATGCCTACAATGCGCATTGGCTGTTTTCGCCAGACCGTATACTTCTTGTAATTGGCATTGTTGAGTTCATCTTGCTTCATTGACTCACGTGCCAATGGATGACTGCCAACCATTGGGTTTTGCGACTTCTTGCGCTTTTGCATGGACTGCTCAGCTAGTGGCAATGTCTTTGGCGATGAACTGCTTGGAGACCCGGCCATCGTTAACGGGCCATCAGTCGCGAATCGTCGCCGGTACAATTCGAGGTCCGAGACATTTCCGATGGACGATACAGGTCGATCCAACATGACGACAGCTCCGGAACTAGGTAATTTCAAGACATGGTTGGCCTTATCAAGCTGTCTCTTTCGGCAAACTACGTCCAGAACCTCGGCCAAGTATGTGTCTGTCATCACATCAAGTGTTACCATCTGGCCTGGAGCTACGTCTGCCGACATGATATGAACTCGAAGTAGCTTCTGCTGCCCTCTGGATGTGTTGGGCACCGCAGCTGGTGCCTGCGGTATATCCGCCGGAGGAGCATTCGATCGATATGTTGTCGTGACAATGGGATTCTGCCGTGGCCGATCCGAAAGAAAAGAATTGACGTTCGGTCCTGGAGTACCCCGTGGAGTAGCGTCCTCGTCTGGTATCAGGGAATCGAGAGCTGCGCCGCCACCACTGTCTTGTGAAGTCACTGGCTCTTCTTCCTCGTCCTCTTGAGGAGTCAACGACTTATTCTCAATATACCCGTCCTCTGAAGCCTCTGCCAACGCAAAGTCGTCGTAAGCGGTTGAGTTTGACCGCATTCGCCCTCCTCCTCGAGCAGCAGCATTATTGACCGTCGTGAAAGAAGTCAAAGGCTTGGTCCTCTCAAACGGAGGGAAGTCATCATCGACCTCACCACCTTCTTCAACCATGCGTAGAGTCCACCAGTTGATATTGAGCTTTCCCTTGGGTAAAGGGGGTTCCAGCTTTTCTTCGTTGTATCGGTACAGACTTAACCCTATGAGGTCTGCTACTGTCACTACTCTCTCAGCACCTTGCCCATCATGAACGCGTGGCCGGATGAGAACCTGGAATGGCTTGCTTGGCGTTTTTGAAAAAGGGGCATAGATACGCACGGCAATAGACCCCTGGGTGCCCTGGCCGCTGAAATGTGCAAATTTCTGGAATGGGATAGATGACTTTTTATCCTTGGCTTTGAGAGCAGCTGATAGCAAACTCTTGGGCTGGGCAACGCTCAATGGTCGAATCATACTCATCGGTCTAGGAGGTGGTAACGTCCCAAGAACAATCGGATGGGTAGGGGGTCTCGATTTGCGAATTGTGGATTGTCGCACAAAGTTCTTGGGCGGTGTTCCCACGACCTGACGGGTAGGCGACGCGTTAATGGCATTCTCCACGCCGTCAAGAATCGATGCTGAGTCGATACTCTCGGCGTAATCGTCAGACATGTCTGAAGCCTCGTCAGAGTCTTCTTCCTCTTCTGGCAAGAGGGAAGTATCGGCTCGCTGGATGCCGGGTGAAGGCTCCTCCATAATCCTAGCCTGAAGCTTCGCGGCTCTCGTCGCAGCACGTGCGGCCTCTCGATATCGTTGGACGGTCGGGATGTCGATTTCATTTTCGGATGATATTTCGCTGCTTGTGACCGTGTCCCTGCGTGCTCTCTCCTGCACTGTCCCCAACGTTGACTGCGAGCCCCGGCGAGGAGCCCTGGGCGAAACAGTTCCAACCTGACGAAGATTCGTGTTCTGCAGTGGTGACGAACCCGCTCTGTTTCTAACGGGCATCTTGGCGAATTTGATCTGCTGCGCAGCCCTTTGATCCGTATCGTCATCACTCTCGTCGCTCAAATCGCTACTGTCTTCCTCTTCCATCTGCTCGCGACGCCTGCGTCGTCTTGTAGCCATTCCTGGGCCCATGGTGTCGGAGCCGGCCGCTGTGAGCATGCCACCATCTTCCTCCCCATCTTCGAGCGTGAGTCCAGCTTGCTTTGGTGCCTGAAAATATTCGGAAGCGATTGCGGTAGGAATTGGAGGTGAATGTGTGCGCTTGTGGTGGGAGGAGTTCGGTCGCCAGCCCGCGGCTTTGAAGGGAGCCGAGTTTATGAAGCCATCGTTAACGTTGAGAAGGCGCTCTCCAACCCCATCTGCGATTTCGTCAAGGTAGCTTGTGCGAAGTTGATAAGAGACGAGCCTAAGAACAACATCAGTTTACCAGACAGGGCAAGATATTTGGTCTGCGATCGGGACGTACTCTTCGAGTTGAATGACAGACATGTTGCCTGTCGGCTTTGAAGTTGTGATTGTACCACAGCAAGATGGGTTGAAGAGAGTGGAGAAACAAGTGTCGCTCTTCACATGCTTATCCGGTAAAGCGACCACCTAGATAAGTATAACTCAATAGATGTTAGTTATGCGACACACAGTGGGGTTGAAGGTAGGTAAGGGTGGTAGTTCAGAGCCTCATTAGATTGGTGGTGGCTACATCATAAGCACGGGCCATTGATGAGATAGAAGTGGATCCTCTCAACTTCATGTCGCGAAGCTCAAGTTCGCGATCCTTTTGCATCTTTCTTCTATTTCAAGTCCAACAATAAATTATCCAAACTATAAGCACCATGGGCCTTGTTGACTATTCCGATTCCGAAGGCTCAGGCTCTGAAGCTGAAGTCCAACCCCCCACCAAAACCGCACCCAAACAAACCGCATCATCCAAGAAACCCTTCCAAAAGGTCGTCGATCGATCCAACCCAGGCAAAATCGTGGTCAACCTTCCGCAAATTTCAAATGATAAACTGCAGAGCCAAGAAACTGCAGAGAAGAAGACAAAGACTGGTGGTGGTAGATTCTCAGGTTTCAATTCTTTCCTCCCAGCGCCTAAAAAGGCAAATATACCCAAACCTGCAGCATCGAGTAGTGCGTCTACAAGGCCAGCTTTTCAGTTCAAGACGAGCGCTGCACCAGGATTCAACAGAGACTCAGAAGAAGACCATAATACATCAAACGATGGCGCTTTAGAAAATGTGAGCGAGCCGACACCAAAGGCTGCTGCGCAACCATATATCCCTGAAGGACAGAAGCCTGCCGACGAAGTTAAGCTTGTGGGCAAGCCATTGATGTTCAAGCCTCTATCAGTAGCGAGGAACCCACAGAAAAAAAAGAAGCTTAATTCGGGGATGGCGAAGGCAATACCAGCACCCCGACAGGAGCAAGCTGAAGTAGCGGCACCTGCGGTTGCTCCAGCAGCAGCCCCAAAGAAGGTTTCTCTCTTTTCCATGCATACCGAAGAACCGTCTGAGCCTACAGAGAAGACATCTACTGGTATTTACGAGCCCATGTTTGCCACGACAGAAGGCTCGTTGGCCTACGATGAGGGAGCATATGGTGACTACGCCAGCCATGCGCAAGCTGGTCCGTCAGCAACCACGCTACCGGGTTCCGAGTCCTTGGATACTGTAGTCGAAGACCTCAACCTAACGGCAGCTCAGCAACGAGAACTGTTTGGTCGCAATGGCCTTGGTAATCAAGCAGCCAAGAAGGTTATCAATTTCAACATGGACGAAGAATACAGGCATAACGAGGAAATTCGAGCTGCAGGAGAAGAGCAAACACACAACCCTGTGCGGGCGATCCAGGGAGGTGGAAAGCACAGTCTGCGCCAGTTAGTTCAGAACGCGCAAAGCCAGCGCGATGCTCTCGAGGACAGTTTCGCCAAGGGGAAGAGCAACAGAAAGGAGGCAGCAGGCAAATATGGATGGTGATGATGATAGTGATACCCCATTTTTACAAAGTACTAAGAACGTCAAAATTGTTGTTTATAATTTTCAATCTGCAGGTGTTTCCTGCACAGATAGGTATACGCTTTCTACATCTAACCCAAAACAAACAGACATGAAGCATATATACATTGTACACATGATTGAACCCGACAGGCTCTTGAAAGCTGAACCGCTCGCCATGGAATTTGACTCCGACCCAAGAAAACAGAGCGAAACAAGCAAAAGATATCATCAAAAAGTTTCAACTCCAACTTTGCGACCGCTTTGAAAGGCATTGTCTGCTAACATGAATCCCCATTCTCCTCGTGTTGTGGGGGATATATCGTCATAATCGTGTGGTGTCATGGGCCCAAATCCTGCTGATCCTGGACTCATGATAGGCGTTGGCGTGAGAGGACTGAAGGCGCTTCGATTGACCGGCCCTGCAGTCAGGATCTGGTCAATCGTTGAAGGCGGCTCCCACTGCTGCATTGTGAAATACAACTGATCCGTTGGTCGTGCTGTGCGATCACCATCTTCCTCTTCCTCGGCTTCGATCTGAATGGGCATCTTGACTGGAGCCTCTATTTTCTTAGGTTTTGGTCTGAGAAGAGGACCTGGGGTGAAATTCGTCTGCAGCTTGAGCAAGGGCTTTGGCGATGGCGTTTTGCCTTTGGATGCTGTGATGTTTATCGTGGCCTCGCTTGTCTCTTCCTCTATATGATGTTTTTGGGAGTCGCTGATGGGTTTGATGGCTGGTTCGGCGAAACTTGTGAGGCCCGCGATTCCACCGTGCTGTTCCGGTCCACCATACGCTCGTCGATACATGCGATCCAGATCGACCAAGGCGGAATTCGAAACGCTCAGCCAGTCGTATGATCGAAGGATGGCTGTCTTGGAAACCTTTGTCCCGTTGGTCGCCAAGATGATGCGCCTGAGTTCGTCGACGGCGTCTTCGAGGCGGAGCGGGGATTTCGTTTTTGAGTAGCTAGAAAGAGCACTTTTCAGGCTATACAGTCTGTCGAGTGATAGTACAGTGAGGCCCTCCGAACAGAAGAGAACCTCATTCTGAATGATGGAGCTATGGATGAGTTGATTTGTGAGACCACAAGAAGAAGGCCTGACAGCAGGAGAGAGCCACTCTGATCTGTAATGCATTAGTTGGAGCTTTACTGTTTCTGAGTTTTGTCACATACCCAAGAGCAAACTTTTTCTCCGTCTTGGTCAATATGGTATTGAGAATCTTTTCGGATTTGGGGTTGAGCTCGTTGGTGTGGATGAGCCGCATACCGAAACCTGACGATGCGTTCATCATGGAGCTCATAGTATCAGTGGTCGTTGACGAGGCGGTGCAGGGTGTCATGGGAGGAGGAGACAAGGGTGTAGAGGGCGATAGAGGCCATTTGAACCGAGGGCTGGATATCTCGAGTGGAGGGACCTGGCCAGGCGAAGATAGCCCACTCCTTGGCGAACCAATCGACCGAAGGGATGCTGAAGAGCCCTTCTTCACCAATGACTTGAGTCTGGAGACAGGACCTTGAGAGATATTGAGACGAAAACCAGGAGACAAGGTCGTTGGGGTGATTGGTGTCAATAGACCTTTAGGCGGAACAACAGATGGGAGTTGGTAATCTCGACGAGCCACGACAAGCGTGATGTGCTGAGACTTCCGAGCGAGACAAGAAGATGCATGCTCGAGAGCAGGTGCCAGATTAGGTGGTAGATGGTGGGCGTCGAGGATAGAGGTACCAGCCTCGAGCGGGGACGAGATTCGATCCTTCAGCGACATGTTGAAGGTGTAGAGTCGTGCTTCAGTTAAGAGGACGACTTAGACAGAATTCTTGATCCGGTATGAAGTGAAGATAACAAACAAACAAACGACAAGGAACACTGAGCAAGAGAGACAAACAAAAGAACCGAATCGAACAAGAGCCGCACGGCAGCTATGGTATCCTTCTCAAGCCTGGTATCGTGAAACCGTCGTTGTTGTGATGCTGCATCAAAAAAGTTTCAAGAGAAGAGAGGATGAGTGGTAAACAAGAGTATTAAAAGACATGACACCATCCGCTTGAGCTTATTCTTCCCCGGACAGCTCTAAAAAAAGAACGGCAGATTGTTTATGTTTCATTCTTCAGGTGGCCTCCCAATAGGCCCGCCAGCCTGATATCCCCGGTGGATAGGTGATATAAAACGGAGTGATGCCAAGATTAGTTAGGCTCCGAAGCTATGGACTATGTTAAGAAAGGGGAAACGCAGCATCGCAATTGAAGACAAGCGGTGATTTTTACTGTCATGATTTACATGCGAGTGATGCCCCGCTGTAGATTTATCAAAAAAAGGTTTAGTATAAGGATATGGGCGGCTAACATGCATTAGCGGCTCTCGTCTACTATTTCAAGAGGCTGGCGGGGTACCTGGAACGATATGGGATTGGTCAGTGTCAGCCTTGCACTTAATATAGATGATTGTTGGCGGCCAGAGACGCTATCTAAGTGGCTGTATGCGTGTGAGTGTGACAGATAACCTGTGAACCTGCAGAAGTGATCTGAACAGGGGATTCTTACTTCCACATACATAGCTACGTATGTCAACAGAAAATATTGACTGTATCGAGAGATCAAGCTATATTACCACCCTTAACATATCATAAACATTTCTTGACGTAGCGTATCAGATCTTGAGAATGATCCCTTGTTCTAAAAACAGGTCCTTGCATCCATGCTCGTCACTACCGCTTTATGTTCCTGCGTTATTCCCAAGATCTCTTTTCTTGATCTCGGTAGTCATGATGCAAACCAACATTTATGTTTCTTGTGCATCAAGATTCCAGCCCTGTCAGTAGATATCCTTGACGTGAACCTTCAAGTCAAGGCCAGTCAGCATCAAAGAATATGCCACGTAGTCGGATTATACCATGAGTCTTTCTCTTATTATCATCATTGCCAACTTGACATCTAATAACTACAATGTGCCACGGCTTTCTTTGACAAGGATCATATTCAGCTCATCGCATTTCAAGACGAACCCATTGTTCCTTTCGTTTTGTTTCATCTCTATGAAAATATTTCTAAATTTGTAGGTGTTCGCAACCACAACTGTATCGTAGCATTGCAGCTAGCAATTTTGGCCAGAAATTTTGGCCATGTACCCAAAGATAGCTTTTTCCACCAGCCGCTGGCCAAGTCCCGTTAGCTCCTTTATATGACGCTAGGTGTGTTTTGAGATTTCTAGACGTGTCCCATCATGCATGCATCAAGTACTCACAACTAGGTACCTGGTAGATTTGTTTGTCAATTCAGCAAGTCCGTTCATCAGCTAAGAAGAAAGCCACCCCATTCGTTATCATCGGCCTGGCCTTTGAACTCGCCATCAGTGCCATAAGTTGCCATTCCATTTAACCTTCGCCATTTAGCCTTGTCCCTCTTGCCTTGTACGCCGCCACTCCCTGCTATGCATTTGTGCCCCAGAAACACTCGTTTCTGCCATCATGACTGTAACATGGGCACCTTTAGCCCAAAGAAGCCGTCGATCCGCGACTCGTTTTGTAGCTAGAGTCTACTAGATGTACCAAAGTCCGAAATGTAAATAGAAAGAGGAAAAAAGAAACACGGAACCTTGGCCAACGTGTTTGCGTCCACGCCAGAAAGCAACTCTAAGATCTCCTCGAGCCATACTCAATATTGCAACACCTGCTACATACCGTGTAGCTCCTGCACACCCGGGATGTTCATCTCAATGTCATCAATCTGTTCAGACGACCCGCAGGATCCTTCCCAGTCTTTAACCCAACGTCAGCCGTTACCAAAAGTCTGCTATGACTGTATCAGAGTCACTGAATGACTGTAACATACCGGTCCCGTCGTCTTCCATGTCATCAACAACAAGCTTGCGCAAAGGATCGATCACATCTGTCATAATTGTTAGCCATTTGCCACAACCCCCCAATTTAATGCATCTGACTCACCATCCTGCAGTTTGCGGAACCTCTTGTCTATATTACTCTGCTCACTTGAGTCCATATCTACTACCGCACTGCATTGCTCAATCACATCCAGGAACTCGGTCGCAATTTCTCGACCGACGTTGGTTCGTCTGCGGACGTGGTGGTCTTTGAGGTACTCGAGACATGCGATTCCGACCTGCTTTGCCGTCTCCTCAATGGCATCTCTGTCATACCGGGTAATCTCACCGTCAACCGGGCTGCGATCCTTCAGGTTATCGAATAGGGCGTTATCGAGAAACTCTTTTGTGGTGGCCCGCACTCGCTGATCAGGCCACGCGAGAAGGAAAGGTACCCATTCTGGCACTTGCTCAAGGCTGCACGCGCGAACTGCCCTGGCAAGTTCTTCGTCTTCTCTTTGAAGCTTCACCGCTACCATGTAGAAGCGTACGAAAAACACACCCTCATTGTTCTGGAGACTTCTCACCTGTGTGAACATATGTTGCACTATTTCCAAAGCGTTGCTGAGATTGTTGGTACTTTCGATGTAGGGAATGGCAGCCCGCAAGAACGGATCCATAGCCTGCGTTGAGGTTTCGCCACGAAGACATTGTTTCAGTGTTGAAAGGACTCGGTCATCAACTTTGTCATCCAATTGTACCAAGTGGCGGATGATAGCGTCGCTGGATGCCGGTGCCTGATCAAGCGCAAGAAGCTTTTCGACAAATAGGCTATCATGAGAGGCAGTGTCCAAACCACTGAAAATAAGAGATATCTCACGCGATGTCCAACTGAATGGCTCTGTTTGTGTAAGACGCTCTGCCGGATCCTCTTCGATTGCGTCAGGCCCAAGTTTCCATTTCATCTCGTTTATCAAGTGCAGGACAAGGGCAATGATTGATGCATACGAAGGGGGTTTTGGACTATTGTTTCGTCGAATAACACTGGCAAGCATTTTGTCCCAGACTCCAGTGAGTTCTTGTAGAGGGTCGGCCGATATGATCATAATAGTCCTTACCAGAAAGTCTGCAGCCAATACACGCCCAGTCTCACGATGGCCCAATTCAGCAAAGCCTAGAATTGCTCCAAAATACTCGTCCCAAGCCCTGATGTGGATGTGGAAGTACTTCCAAAGATGATCGAAAACAATCAGTACTCGATCAATGACAGAGCGGTGAGAAATGTCATGCCGATCAAGGTCTTCATTTTCATCGGATCCAGAGACTGGGCTGTATGACTCTTGTGGGTCGTAGACATTGGGAAACGCCTCTGCTATTTTCTTGAGTGCAGTAACCAGAGCTTTGCAGGTGAAGCTTCGCACTCTCTGATCTGGGTTGCGTTGGAGCATCATGCGAAGTGCGTTGGGGTAATCATCAAAGTAACTGTAGAATGCAAAGGCACAATAAGGGCAAGATGCGATCGCGCCCATCAGACTTCTATAATATGAATCGAAATCTGGAATGTCCCTTGTTCTCGTGACAACTTGGTCCAGATGGCCAAGTAGCGTTCGCATGGCCAAATTCTGGAGCCCATGTTCCTGCTGAAATTTGCATATGAAGTCGTTAGAACTCAGGCGAGTAACAGTTGCATCCACAGGGCCACAGTGCAGTAGTGATTGACGGAACAGTGTCAGAACGAGCCCAGTGCTCGTCTCGTCATAGATACAGTGGCGGCGGAGGATAACTGTATTTTCGACCCTGGTATGATCTTTGAGCTCGTCCGGCACCTCGACACGGAGAGGTGTAGAAATGTTAAGACTCATCATAGTTTCCTGCTCAGCACGCAGGGACGAAGCGCGCTGATAGAATAGCATATATGCACTGTAGTTCTTGTCGTACACAAGGCCGTTAGGGTCATGGAGAGGACGTTCCGCACCACCGAACGTTTTTTGTTCCATCTCCGCTGGGTCCCATGGAGTTACCATGTCATCGTTAAATTCAACCCAGCTTGGGCGATCAGCGGAGGAAGGGCGCTCGCGGATAAAAGAGTAGTAGTGTCCGGATTCGGCGGTACCAGAATGAACAAGCACACCAACTAGTTCAAAAATATCCTCCTCGCTATCACTGTCTGGGTTACTGAGATGTCCGATGGTGTATGGCCGCATGTCGACTCGACTTGGGAACGAAAAATAGTCATTGATCTTGCTGCGCTGAAGGGTACGTAGGTTGAAATCAAATCTCTTCAGGTGGAAGATGAGGTTTTCCGGGACGTCTTTGATACAGGCCCTAAGATTTCGTTAGTCAGAAGAAAGAAGTCAGTAAGAGGAGGAAGTACCTTTTTACCGCGTCAACATGGCGGTCGCACGTTGAACATTTGTACTTGTTGTCTATTTACTTGGTCAGAAGTGATTTGGCTTTTGCAACAAAGAAGCTCAGCTTACCTCCTTCCATGATCTCACCGTCCACATAAGCCTGTAGGCTTTCCTCTAGTGTGCTTTTCCCTTTGATGTCGCATTGGATGGCGGAAAAGGGCTCGAGGCGCTCAGAGATGTGCTCACATTCTTTGGACTTCACTTGCTGCACCAGCTGTCCACCGTAGAACGACTTCATTCTTCTCTTTTCGTCCTGGTCGAGAAGCTGATTCTCCCAACGGTCAAAAAGAAGATTGTAAAACTCGTCGACATCCATTTGGTTGTGGATATCAATTAGAGTGTCATCGTATGTCTTGATGGAATTAACAAAGTTAGTCGGGTCAATATAGCGAAGGTAGCTCTCCTGCATATGGCCAAATAATTTCTGGGTGTTGTCAAGGAGTTGCTGGTTAGTTTCAGGGTAGCGAACGCGGCAACTGAGCACGAAGCACCGGAAACCAGTGTTCATATATAGCTGCGTCATCAATGAATTCAGGTAACAGGTGTTGGACAAATTCTGCAGTCCTGCGTAGCCGCATGGAGCACGGAGTGCTCTGGACCGCTCGAAGTGGTAGGATAGCTCGTATAGGTATGGATTATCTGGAATATTTGTCAGTACGTGCGGGTTTACTAAAGGACCGTACATACCTTCATCATCTTGATAAAATGGCACTTGCTGGCCAAGTCCTTCTAGAACCATTTGAAACTCGTCTCGGTCATGCTTTACAAGATAGGACACCACTTCGCAAAGCTTGGACCGAGTTTCTCCATTAAGGATTACTTTAGGCACAGACTTTCCGCCTGGTAGACACTTGCTGGGATATAACTGCTTCCAGAATAATGACGTAGCAAGGTTCCTACGGCCAGTTAGAGTATTCCACGATATATCAGGTTTCGTTCCTTACCTAGGGAGTACCTCAAATAAGGCAACAGTGGCGTCCAACTGCAGACAAAGATGCAAGAGAGACGCTGAGCCTCTTGCTAATATATCTTCGACATCGGGCGATTCTATGGTCTAATAATTAAGACTTTAGTCCACTTTGCTCAGCTACGTTGGGTCAAACACGGTGACATACCTCAGTTGTTGTATGCTCTAGCAGAAGTTGGCTGGTTTTAGCCGCCAGCGTTGCAATGTTCACTACTTCAGGCGCTTGCTTGCTGATTCTGGCCAGCAGGAAGTAAGCTAAACGGAATAGCTCTTCGCACTGATGCGGAAAGCTAGCTGCCTCCGATATGAGATCTTTGGTGACGACCCAGAAGTATGTTGCTACTGAACCATTATGGGTGCTGATGGAAGCATGACCGGTAGCTGCATGCTCTACAACATTGAAGAACTCTTGGATAACCTTGATCGAACGTGCTCTAATGGCCTGACGGTGATCGGTTAGTAGAAGACAGCGTAGGACTCGTCCAAAGCCTGGGTTTGTGCTAAGTTTTGTCCAAAATTGGCTGTCCACGGCGCTTAGTCGCTGACAAAGAAGAAGTGCCAAGTGTACGGCAAATGAAGGCGCCTCTCCAGGATAATCTGCGGCATACAACAGGATTTCGACCAGTCGATCTGGATCTGGTATAACCAGACTCTTCGACATGGCCGATGGTTCTGAGGCGCTAATTCCTACATAATCGTTAGAGACCGTACAGTAAATCCAATCTTTTACACTTACTCTCATGAAACTGTTTGCATGCTTGAAGCAAGCTTGTTGTGAGCTTTAGTCGTATGAACGTTGATGCTTGTTCAAAGACGTCCTTGTCTGAGATAGCATGTACAACCAAGGACATGGCTGTCTTCAGAGCTTTAAAGTACGAGACAGAACGAGGCGAAAATGTGTCGTTCTGACTGCCATCACTGTTAATGTTACTAGAGAGAGTTTTGATATACTTGAGCAACGCATGTACAGCGTAAAGTGACTTGAAAGGCTGCCCTGGCGGGAAGACATCTTTGTACGTCGCTGGTTCGTTGTCGATCAACTTCGAGAGACGGCCGTCTGTCGGTAGTTGGGTGAGGAAGGTGAAGATCTAGAAAGGTTAGTATGGTATCTCATCGACTATGAATGGTATGCTTACTTCTTCTGCGAGTGAATCTTTCATGCTCAAGTATTCCCATATCTCATCAAAATGAGCAGAGATTTCAATTTCGAGCGAGGAAGCACCAGGTGTAACCCGATTAGAGAGAGTTGGACCAGATTCTTCACGTCTGACCAGTATAAGACCGTCATGCACGCGGAGATCTTTGAGAGATTTGCATATGTCGGTCTCACGTGGTAGGAATGGCTGGCCTCTATAGTAGATCCGATAGTTTTCGAATCCGGTTTCTTCACGGAGGCTGGCGAGCAAGGAAGCTGCAGTATTTCCTTTTCCAATCAAAAGTGGTTTGATGTCAGTCTGCTGGTTGCCATCAAAACACTGATACTTGAGTTCCGCTGAGTCACCCTGAACAGCATATGGTGCTTGAGAAATCAACGTTCTCAAGTCGGGTGTGGACAAGTGTGGTTTCGAACGATGAGCATCCAGCATGTACCGCAGAAACTTCAAGGAACGGACAAATATCCTTTCTTTTCCTCGTAACTTCTGACCTTTGGTAACAAATGCCATGTCCCCATCATCACCACCTTGAGAGTTACAGCTCAAGGCCTCTAGGTCTTTCGCGGCAACTTTCAACTGGTTTAAACATCGGCCAACCAGAGCTAGGTGGATCAACTGCGTTCGCTGTGCGGGGCCGGAGGAAATATACTCGTTTTCGATGTAGATATCTTTTGTAAGGACTCGGAGAGACCTTTCAGCCAAATTTTCATCTTCGGCTTCAAGAGCGATGCGCCAAACTTGTTCAATACCACTTTTGTTGACCGCTTCCTGGTCATCGAGCGCAAGGTCCGATTTTTCATTGAGACGGGGCATGATCTCGGCTAGAAGAAATTCCAGCATACCTTCACAGAAATACTCAGTGGAAAGAGTTGGGAGAAAGTGAAGTAGACAAGTCCGGAGAAAATGATTCGTGTGAATGTCAAAGTTGCCCCCCCGGTTGAGAGTGTTCAGTATGTCCCACCCGGCTCTCCTGTCTTCCACTGAGAGTGAGAGAGAACCGACAAGCATCTCCCAGAGTTTGAAACCGAGCTCCTGAGTGATGGTTTGTGGTTCCAATTGGATAATGACGGCAATGAATTCCCTTCGAGGCTGGTAAATGGGCGAGGCGAGTACCATCTGAGCATCCATTGCTCGCCCGACCTTGATAGCATGCTCCAATTCTTCTACAAGAAGTCTCGTGAAGTCGTGTTCTTCCACTAGTTCATGTAGCTCGGTGGCCATAACTCTTGACCGGATCGTTATGGAGAGAAAGAAAAGACTGCCTAGGGTGGTGGCAGACTTGTTTGCAATATCTTCAAGACAGCTCAGGTATAATTGTTCTCGTCCTTCATGGGTCGGTCCGTATCTTAACAATTCCTGGAGTTTATGCACTGTTGCTTGCTGCATTTCAGGTGACACGGATTGCGATCCGCCTGTGGGGACAGAGGACTCCCTCAACAGCCGCAGACAAAGGCTGTAAGGCTGGATTCCAAGGGGCTGCTCTATTGCAAGCCTCTCTGTCATAGATTTCATGACATGTTCCCAAAGCAATCGGATAGTGGGCGTAAAGGCATCTATAGGGAGTGTCTGGAACTTTTCGCAAAGAGCCAGTAGGCCTTCGATGTCAAAGAGATGGGCAATATTAATCACCATACGCGCCAGGGCGTCGACTGTACGAGGATCTTCTCCAGACGTGATCCCTTGCCATATCATATCTACATGCTCCTTGCGATAGTTCCTGGTCACTATTATGAACCCGACAATGTTGGCGCCCTCAACGGTAATCTCAGGGTGGCAATTAGAGCCTAGAAAGTAGTTGATGAACCCGGATCCGATTAAATACTCGGCAATATGTTCAATATAAGCTGGGCTATCGTTGTCATTTTGCTCGGAGTGAATTCTCCAACACTCGACAAGTTCTCTGCACATTTGTGTCGTTCCTTGAAATCGAAGTTGCATCTGGCTCGACCGAAGGAGTTTGATGAAGGTTTCAAAGCGACGCTTGAGAGCAATTGCCTCGATAGCGTAGTCTTGGGAGACTGCAGGAAAGGATTTTTGGTGCTCTTGAAGTAGACGGCTTGCAATAGGGAGGCCGCATCTGAGGACTGTCTTGATCATATCTGACAAAGCCGAAACACCCCTGAGGATGTTATCCGCGAATAGTTGCGAGGGCTTTTTCTCGATCATATCATCAAATATCCTACAAATTAGTTCGTACAGAGCGAATCCGTTCTCGAGTTCCTGTTTGAAGATCGAATTATTGTTAGGAATGCGTGGGTTGAGAGTGTCAGACATGATATCCGACGCCATTTGGCAAAACGATGCCAAATCGTTAGTCAAACGAGGATAACTAGGAATGAGTTCTGCCAAGCTTCTAGTCAGCTGCAAAAGACTGCCAATGCTTCCACTTGAATTTTTTTGATAGGTTCTGACGAAGTACGAGGACATAACTGCAACCTGATCGGCCTGACTGTCGCTGAGTCGCGGTGGTATGGTTATCGAATGGAGATGATGAAGATAAATCGGAGACAAGAGTTCGGGTATTTGCCGTCCCTGCGATTCCTGATCTACCATGAATTCCTTGATGGCTAGGATGTCTTGCCCGACCAACCAAGCTGATAGTTTGGCGAAACTTGCAAACAAAGCATTACTGAGTTCCCCAAGTGTTTCGTCTTCGTAAAGTGGAGGTCTATGGTGGTTAGTTATGTTAGATATTGAACATAGGTATGCACCTACCGGCGGAAAGCCATTGCTGGAATGATGCGTGGGAGGGTGGCCCAGAAAGGAACGTTTAGACGGCATGATCTCATTGCTGTTTGTCTACCGACATTCCCAGTGTATTCGAGATATTGGTCTAGCCATTGCTGCAGTTTATGAATGACCAATGGATCGATTGAGGATTCTACTTTGTTAGTATCTAGGCTCGCTGGGAAGGGTACAGATGTGCCTTACGTGCTCCAAGGTAGTTTGCGAGCCGCGCCGCCATTCCTTCCAGTGACTCATTGGGCTCATTGAAAGGAAATTCATTAACTGGATCAATTGCTACAAGGTCACTCTCGACCAAGGAAAGACCAGTACTTTGGTAGTCGGACATCATATCCTCATCAGATTGTATGGAGACAACCTCGATTGGCGGGGTTGCAGACTGCGAGGAACTTGGCCGTGAGATATCATCGTCTTGAGGAGCTTGAATCATGTCGACCTCAGAGTCTTCAACACTCTCTTGAACATTGCCGCTGACAGCATAAGTCGAATTTTCAGTCACAGCTGGCCGAGCCGCAGTAGTTGGGGAAGATGGTAACGAAGAAGAATCTTTCTGGGTCGCATTTCTGAGGTTGAGAGTGACCATGCTGGATGGAGGTTCTGTAGGAGGATCACAAATGTGAGAGCCTGACTCGGGGGTCTCAGGCGCAACAGGAACTGTTGGAGAGTCCGCAGCTGAGCCAGGTCGAGGCAAGGCAGGATCGGTGTCGAGAGTGGTGGAGCTGGAGGAGTCGTGAATGGGATTTGTTGCATCGAGAGAATTTGCAGGAGACCCGGAGAGAGAAGTGCGCCGGCGTTTGCGAGACGAGATATCGCTGTCATCAAATGGGTTTGGCCGGGTCGTGCTTGCTTCAGCGGAGGCAGCGCGATCTAGAAGCTCGGGAGATCTTGAGGCTGGATCCATCGGAGTCGTGTAGAGTCAACGGGGACGAGGCGTGAAAGTACAGAGACGTCACACCGTCGCGAGAGACGCCCCGGCGAAAACTGCACAAAATTAACATGTGGGTTTGATAGAAGAGTGAGGTATAGCGGGGGAGCAGCAAGATTCCCAAGCTCGAGATGAATATCGAACAGGGAATCAGAGCCAAAGCGTTGATGCGGGGGGATAGGCAGTTGAGGTGGACAAAAAGACAGGCGATTAAAAGACTCGGGATCTAACGCCAGATCAAACTAAAAATCTCCCAGAGCTGTGTTCACTCTCGAGTCTTGAAATGGGATGGATAAGAAGTAAGTGCAGGAAATGGATAAGGCTTCTTGGATCTAAGGGTAAGGTAAAAGCCAAACCAGGATCTGGAAGAGCTGGAGTATGGATTGGCAGGGCGCGGTCGCGGTCTGCTAGTGTTGGCACCCCGCCACGGCAGGAGCACTGGGGGTGCAGATAGTAGAAACAAGAGGGGGAAAGTACGATTAAGAGATACAGAGAATAGATCATGGAAATAACAAGATGAAAATTGTCCTGTTGTACTTGCCTTTCCGGTATGGTTGATAGTACAATAGCCTTATTACTGAAAGAAGAAAATATAATACTATTGCTGGTATTGTTGTTTCAATATAAATCGAGTGGGGGAAAGGCGAATAACAGAAATCTGGATTGGTTGCTAAGTCGAAGCTTTCGGGGGGTTTCAAAGCAAGTGGGTGGACTCAAATATCGTAGAGTACCTATAGATGAAATGTAAGGCAAAATTGGTGGTTGCCTTAACTGGTTTGACAGTGACACGTCCCGTCCATACAAAAAGTGCCTACTTCTAGGTCCCGTCACTGTGGCTCAACTTTTTTAGTGGAGAGCTCACCTGTGCGCGAGGTGATGTCAGGCTGTACCTGTCCGTGTCTATGCTGGACTTAGGGCGGGGTAGACCAGGTAAATTAGTTAGATGACTTTGGGTATGGGGTGAGGATAGTGCATTCAATTACATCGATGCCATGACAGATTGATCGGGAATTACTGTCAATATTGATGCGCGTGAGTGAACAGATGAATGCTGAGGGGTCTGGTATCTTCCAAGTCCTTTACAAGTCGGCACCGGAAATATAATAAACCTACAAAGGTTAATGCAACCGAGTTTTCGTGCTTAGACTCTGCAGGTGTCATGATAGCGACCGTGGGGTATCAAGACATTCAGCATCTATTCAATCATAACAAACGGCACAGCAGAAGACCTACTAACTGCTGAGTTGTTTTGTGGCTGTGAGAGTGGGCTGATATAGGGTGAAATCGGTATCTGGAAGTGAAGCCTGATTGAAGGATACCTACATTAGAATTTGCCTGTGATAAAACTTCATGACGACCAACCGCGTTTATCTGTGTCACCGGGCACGGTTCTTTGCCTCTGGCGGCTAGCTATCTGTCTCAGACTTGAGAATCTACGATGTTAAAGGCTACTATAGAATTCTATACGAGATGCTTGCTGATTACTTCTTAACTCGAATACTCGTACCTAACTTACTGTACTTGCCTTCGTGGACCGTTGAGCAGCGCGTCACATTTGACATGTCAATAAGCTGAACAAAATAATGGGGACCTCATTGATCGTCACCCGGGCTGTTTCAATTTCGTTAACCAGCATTTGTACCTGCGGCTTGTGACATATAATGCGGCGCTAGTTAGAAGCAACTCCCCGTCCAAAATCTTGACCCACATTGCCGATGCATATTTGCGAATAGTTAGTTGCAGGCTGCAAAGCAAATCACTTTTCCTGGCCTTCCATCATCGCACTCGAAACCGCCCTTGCCACGCCCGCTCAGTTGTCACTGGGTCAATCATTTGATTGAAGTGACTGTATCGACTACCGTTTGGTTTTGGTTTTTTTCCCCTTGCCTCCACCTGCGTCATCAAGTATCCATCATGTCTGTTCCAGCTTCTCAAGCCGCTCGCAAGAAAGTTGTTCACCAACTTGACACTCCCTTTTCCACTGTCTCATGGTAAGTATCTACAAAAAACCATCATCTCATCACCAATGCTGAGGAACCAGGCCGGATATCTCAGCAGAAGACCAAGACACTATTTTGGAACTCCTATGCGAGTAAGTAAAGCCCCGTCAGAAGCCTCTGTATCATTCCAGACAGAGCAGGGCCAGCTTCGAGAAGCAAACATTACTGACAGCCAAAGTTTATTGAGTCCCATTGGTCAATATCGCCAAACACACATCAAGCGATCGAAGGGTAAGCGTGCAGCGCAGAAGGAGAAGGGAGCCAGGAAGATAGGGGATGGCCCGGAACAACCTCCTGCGCCGCCAATTCCTGAGCTCGAAGCCAATATAGATGTTGGATTTAACTCAATTACCCGAAATCTCCAATCATGGTCGTCAAAGGACACTGAGTCTACAGAAGACGAACCTAAAAGGCAGTACTCCATGGTTTTCGTGGCTCGCGGCAACCAGGCTTCAACATTCAATTGCCATTTCCCGCAAATGGTGGGGATAGCATCCAAACAACTCCCTGAGGATGATAAGATTCGTTTGGTTGGTTTTTCTAAGCCCTGCTCTGAGCGCCTGAGCAACTGTCTGGGAGTTCCCAGGGTGTCATCTATAGCTATTTTCAAGGATTCTCCTGGAGTCGGGGGTTTGCAGGAGTTTGTCATGAAGGCAGTGGCGCCAGTGGAGGCATCGTGGCTAAATGCGTCTTCAAGTACACAGTACGTTGCCCCAAAAATCAATGCTATAGAGACTACGATAGGACCCAAACGCGCACGGGTTGAAAAGGTTTGCCCCGACAAGGATTCATGCACGTATCCTTAGGCCTTTTTGGAATTATTTATGCAGCTGCAGATTATTGAGTATTGATAGAGGATTTGTGAGAGGGCGGTCTGATTTCACAGTCTGAGTTGGGTTGGCAGTGGAACTCGGGTCACTTGAATGCCACAGCCAAAAGTTAACCATGGATGACTACAAAGATCTAAGTGAGCTCCGGCTTAAATATATAGATAGATAGGCATATAAGTATCGGCCGTACTGCACTTGGATTATCATATTCCTACCAAAGTCGCCCATATCGCTTATCATATACCTACATACATAGCCGTTTTTTATTCCTTTAGCCTCGAAGTTCCTTTCAGATAACGCCCAGGACCTTTCCTGCAATTATCCTATATCTACCTAGAAAATTCGGTCACTTTGAAACCGGGTGCTGGCCAGCGGAGGCTCATTTTTCTTGCCACTGGCAGGCAGTGTCAAAGCTGTATCTACTAGAACACACTTGCTAATTCAACCGCTATTCTTCTGATATTTGATACCTACTAGGTCCAGGACGGAATTTTCAAATCGATCTCTTCTGCATTGAATACTAGGCAGTCGTATCTTCTTCCTTAGGCTGTTCCTGTCTATGATTATAGGTAGTAGGCATCGACGTTTCTTCACCTTCCCTCCCCCACCCCCCTTCTCTTCCTTTCTTTTCACCACCTTCCATCCCTCCCCCTTGCAGCGTTTTATTATTTCATCCTAAAGCGAGTCAATTCTACCGCATCCATTCATTTTAAAACTTTCACTCTCTCTAGCTACAAGAGACTTTCTATTTCCTCCAGGGCGCAAAGCCAACCACTGCTATCATGGCTGACTCTGGTTACGCCAACACTGGTAACTTGAATGATGCCAAAGAACTCCAGAAAATGTTCAAGGGCCAGACTAGCAGTAACATCACCGCAAAGCCCAGAGGCAAGAGTAAGAGTAAGGGGGGTAACTCGCTTCCCATGAAGCGACGAGGTGGGATACCCCTTGCCATGGCTGACTGATATGCCCATGGACTAATGTCGCATCAGAAGCCTTTCCACATCCGCATCGTGGACCACCACCTACTTCTACCAAGACCAATGTACCCCCTCCCAGCGCCCGCTACTATACGGCCACTCTTTTGTCTGACCCTTTAAAGCGTGCAGCTGGAGCGATTCTAGGGACAGCAACTCTAGCTTTCCTGAGTCGTCAAGACTCAACACCTCAAACGCCTACCGTTCCTGCCCAAAGTTAGTAGTGAGAAGCAAAAGTCCTGCAAGTGGTGCAAAATGCTGATTTGAGGATAGCCGCCAAACCGCCTATCACAGAAAACCAGGCTGTTATCAAGGCTCCTGCGACCGTCTCTACTGGGGAGATAAAGATTGCGAACAAGGAAGAAGAGTCTAAGAAGATAGACGCTAAACCGCCCGTCATGGGGAACCAGGCTCCCACGGCTGTCTCCAGTGGAGAGAGAAAGCAGGTTCCCACGACCATCTCTACTGGGGAGAGAAAGCAGGCTTCTACGGCCGTCTCTATTGTGGAGGCAAAGGTTGTGAACAAGGAAGAAGAGTCTGAGAAGAGCCTCGCAAGCATGTTCTTTTCTCTTATGTCAGGGGATTCCGATGAGGACTCTGACGAAGAATCGCCAGCTGTCAAAGTCAAGGCCGAAGCTGTGAGCAAGTCCGGGACCACTAGTATCATCAGATACTCATCCGACAAGTTGCTGGAGCTGAAGGGAAACCCCCCCTTGGAGACTGAGCATTCCAAGGCCGCAAACACAGTCCCACAGCAAACGCATCAAGGTAAGACCGAGTTATCGCCTAAGGGAATAGCCAACACAAGCCTTCGCCCAGAAGCTCCCGGTTTCATACCATCAGTGACTGCTAAGATGGCTGCCTTTCTGGCAAATGAATCAAACAAGCCAGTTACAACTCGCAAGCCGACAAAAGGGTTGGGTTCGTCTATGTGGGCCAAGTAAAGGGGCATCGCCTTTGCCAAAGGATAAGGGACTGATTGGCATGGCATTGCGGATTTCACATATGGCTGCGAAATGATAGAAAAATGATCATCTGCGAGGAAACACGCCGGGATATCACGGGCTTGGCCTTATGTTGATATCAGAGAAGCCAGAAAGTTTCAGGCTCGGTCGGCTTTGAGGAATTTGACAATTAGGATTCTAGTCTAGGTAGTTCACACCATAGACTATTAACATTTTATCTCAAGGTCACTAAATCCATAACGCACTGCATCCGTTATTCGATTTCTGACGTACCTCGCATTGCAAACCGGTCAGAACGCATCAGTCACCCGAAGACATGCTCGCTCGTCTCTCTCACGACTCAAGAGTAAAACCACATGCAAGTATTATCAAAAACATAAGCACAACGCTGGTATATTTCTACTCATCCAGAAATCTATTCGGATATCCCCTTCTCTAGTATCTTCACGCCCTCTCTCACCTTAGGCGAATAGTGCTTTCTCAACAATTCCCCCTCCCAAACTGTTGCTGCAAAGGGGTTGCTACCCTCAATACTATCACTGATGGGGTTATATCGACCATCACCCTTGCGCTCCTCTGTATCCCAAAGACTTCGGACCTTCTTTGCGTGGGTATGCGCCACATCACTAAGAAGCACAAGGACGGCCTGACACGACTTATCGGGGAGCTGGAGCGCAGCCGTCATGAGCTGTTTGGAGAACGCAGCTAGACGCATAGGCGGCACCGCCCTTACGTTCCAGGGCGGGAGAAGAATGCCGGTTAACGAACGCAGAAGAAGGACCGTTGTTGTTTGTACATTGATCTTAGTAGCTGCGCTGGTTGAGTTGACGGGACGTGTCAACTCGACATCAGGGTTTGTAGAAAGTGTGAGGAGTGTCTTGAAAAGGTGTGTAGTGAAGAACGATAAATCGAGGTGAAGATCGTTGCGTGAGTTGTGAGCGTCTTGACCTTCAAGCAAAGCGAAGGCTGTGACGGTGCAGAGCAGAGCCTCACGGGTCAGGTTGCGCACAGGGACATCATCTTCATCTTCCTCCTCTACTTCTTCCTCTTCATCATCGGGGCCCTTCTCGGCATCCTCTTCACTGTGGCGGATGAGATCCTTCAGCGCCTCAAGAAGATCACCAAAGAAATCCTGGTTGATAAGATGGGCGTACTTGGCCAGACCTTCGAGAACGGCTCCCATGAGATGAGGCATTCGCAACTTCAGAATACGGAAGTAAGTAGCAAAGACGAGCTTCAGAGTCTCCGATTGCATGCGGTCGCGCTCTTCGTAGCTGACAGATGCATCTGCGTTGGCCATGTCCTTGTCGAGCGCATTTTGCTCCTTGAGCTCCTTGCGATAACGCTTGGTTCTGAATTCGCGCTTCTTCTTTTTGAAAGATCCCTCGGTACTCTCGACGTAATCTTGAGACGCTTTGCCTGAAAATTCGGACAGGAGGCGTAGGCTAAGGAAAAGGTTCACAACGCTCTCGTCAACCTGGTATTCGCGGGCCTTCATCATCTTGGAAAGCAGACCAACGGCATCATTGGATGGTCGACCTTCTTCATCCTCCTTGAACAGCTCACGGAGGGCCTCCAGACACTTGACACCGTCCTGGTTGATTTTGCGTCGGCTGAGCTTGGTGACAAGAATTTTGAGTAGATCTGTTCGGAAGTTGAAGTGTGACACTGATGTAACGAGAGTGCAGGTACAAGTGATAGCGATGCTGGCAAGAGTTGGTCCACCCTTTGACGCCCTTATATCGAGCTTGGAGCATCGAGCAAGTTCTTTGATGTAGTTTTGATATCCTGAAACGAGAGCTTGTTCATACTGCCGTAGAGTTCGCACGTCCTTGGAAAGCTTCTCTCTTGGGCCGTTCTCTTCCTGCGGACGTATCCGGTAGCCAGGGATGACATCCTTGTAGACAGTCATTTGTGTCATGAGGGCGAGCATCTGAATGGCGACAATCCTGGATTGTCCGATCTTGGCAAGTGCCTTGAATGCGCCGACGTGTTCCTCCGGATTCTCGTTCATTTGCGTACCAATCTTGGCCAACTCCTCCTGTGCATCTCGAATCTGCTGAGGCTCAGGGATCTCAGGCTCTTCCTCGACCTCCTCTTCCTCAAACTCTACCTCCTCTTCATCCTCGCGGCCTTCTAGCCATTCGGTGTCGCTTTCAATCGATGCTTCATCATCCTCTTGACCTTCTGCCTGCTCAATTCGACCATCTGCTGTCTTGATAGGTAGTCGGTTGCTCTCCTTTTGCTTCTTGCCCTTGCGCGGGCGCGACTCGTAGTCTTGTTCGAGATCCCAATTCGAAGCGTTCTTGAAGAAAGATTTCTGGGCGCTCTTTGACTCGGCTTGACCTCGAGACTCGTGATCAGAAGAGTTGTGAGCAACCTTTCTCCGTTTTGTGCCGTTGGACGCCATCTTCGCTGATCTTTTCTATAGCACAAAATAACTTGCGCCTGTGGAAGGTTTTGTCGTCTTGTCTTAAAGGTAACTGTTTTTTGCGAAAGTTGATATGTTTAGTGGGGCTGATGGCAGATCGCATTTTGTGATTGGACAAAGCCCAGCTTCACCGCCAAAAAGTTGGACTTTTCTGCCGGACAGAAATGCCCCTCTGCCAGATTATTTTATCGACCAACCGCAGGAATTCATCTGTAGTGTCCAGAATTTGAGTTTGAGTTTGCAGACATTATTCCAGCAATTATGGGCTTTACCAAACCACCCGTGCAGGCGCTCAAATCCGCCAACAAGCTCAAACGAAAGGAGCTCTTTGTTCAGTACAAGAAGCATCAGAATAAGGAGAAACATGAGGAACGACACCGACGCAGAAGGGAAGAGGCAAAGGACCCTGAGCTCAAGGCAGCCCGTCTAGCGAAGCACAAACCTGCTACGATCGACTCGAAGCGAGTATGGGATGATGTCGATGACGATAGCCTAGGCGTGCAGGTGGACCTCGAAAAACTCAAGAGGCGTCGCATTGAAGAGGTTGAGGCAGCAGAGCAGGCCGCTCATGAGGCCGCCATGCTCGCCGACGAGGAGCTGGATGAAGATGACGATGTCGACAGTATGCTGGCTTCCGATGAGGAGATGGACGAGGAACGACAAGCTGCACTGGAAAAGAAGCGAGAGCGTCGCGCACAGCGAGACGACAGTGTCGCGCCGTCCACAGCAAGCACAAATCTCGACTTGACGCCCACCTCACTCGCCCTCAAGTTTCCCTCGCTTTTCACCGATATCCCCGCGCCAGAGCCCAAGGTCCTGGTCACGACATCGCTGAACTCTACTCTGCATGAACAAGCCAATGTTCTTTGCGAGTTCTTCCCCAACAGCTCCTATGTCCCCAGGTCTGCACATCGATACGGTCACAAGTACTCCCTCCGAGAAATCTGCAAATATGCTACAAACCGAGAGTACACGGCTGTTCTTCTTCTCAACGAGGATTCTAAGAAGCCCACAGGCCTTACGGTCGTGCATCTGCCTTCTGGTCCGACATTTCACTTCTCAATCACCAACTGGATCGAGGGTAAGAAGCTCCCCGGCCACGGAAACCCGACAAATCACTACCCCGAGCTTCTGCTCAACAACTTCAAGACCCCTCTGGGTCTGCTGACAGCCAAACTGTTCATGACGCTGTTCCCTCCGAAGCCGGAGTTTCAGGGTCGCCAAGTGACAACACTTCACAACCAGCGCGATTACATCTTTGTGAGACGGCACCGTTATGTTTTCCGTGAAAAGCGAGAGACAGAAAAGAGCATTGTCGGCGCTGATGGAAAGGAAGTCAAGGGCGTGGAGGGTATCCGTGCCGGCTTGCAGGAACTAGGCCCCCGTTTCACCTTGAAGTTGAGGAGAGTCGACAAGGGTATTGGAAGAGCCGGAAGCGACGGTGACGATGCGACACAGTGGCAGTGGAAGGCAAAGATGGAAAAGGACCGCAAGAGATTCAACCTGTAATCGTTTCACTAATGATGACGTGGTAGTCATGGCGTCAGGCGTTCGTAAACTTGAGACGAAAATAGTATAGAAAGACAATAACGAAGTTGATCTAAGAGACCACCGTTGGGCGAATTTGCTAGCATCGACATTACAGTTCATCACATACATGTGTCGATATTATGCAATCGAACTTTGGACGGTTGTCAAGATGCCTTACAACAATTATTACCCAGCTTGCCATAACAACGATAATCCATGCTAAGATAGACATCTTGTGAGCGGACAGGCACTCTGATAGACGATTGATTTCTGTGGGAAATACACAATGAATTAAGGTCGTTGTAATTACGTATACTCAGTCAAGCGATAGCTCAATCAAAGGAATGTCTACACAGTATAATAACCGTTTAGAGGAAGAAGATGAATATAGAGGCAAGGGCATAAAGAGTCAACAGCAAATTCGATATAAATCGAGTAATATGCTAGACTAGATGAACAGATTGGTAGAGGACCGCCGATGTTGTCTCTGGGTTATCTGCTCCTTCGTTGAGAGGGCATACCGAAGTCGTACGTTCTGCGGCATGACATCTTTGATAAATGCATAGGCTTTCCTTTATCCTTTTTGCCTTTTTAATAGCGAAACATTGTCGCCAACTGCGCAGCACTTGGTCGTCGCTTAGACCAAGCACCCATATAGTGATAAATTTGTAATTCATGCTAAGTGTCCAAGAGTTTTCCGAACCGACATTTGACGCCTTGGCAAAGAGATGAGAGGAATGGTCCTAGTGTACCTAATGGAGTACATTATGCCATAATAAAAGTATTCGTTTATGGGTCACACCGTTGGATATTATAACCTAAAATTGACCGTTTTCCAGATTGGCTGATAATAGGGTGCTTGAAGTGGTAAGTTAGTGGAAATTGCTCTCACTGGCCAGATATATATGTTCGACATAGTCGATTAGGATCTGCTAACACCCTCTCATATCTGGTCTCACAGCTTGGATTTCACAATCTGGAGTGTAACACGGCATCAATGTCATATCGAGGGTTAGAGACTGTGGCGTAATGTTCCTCTTCAGGAACGAACGCCACATTTCAGCCAATATCTCCTGGTACTGGTCGCGTGGCGTTGCATCAGTCCCTGGATTTCATGGGAAAGGACTGTAATTTAGAGGTGGGCTAGCAGTCGGGTGCTTCCCTTGGTACCTGTACAGTGAACAGACCACGCTAGACTCCAACGTCTGTCTTGTTTTTAGTGATTTGCCCCTTTGACCTGATTCCGTTGCTCACCACTTCAACAGAAAACTCAACGCGGTGTTTGTTACACAAGGAAAGATATTTGTATCCTCTAGTCGAAACCCGTCTTGGTCGGACTCTTTCATGCGTCCATACACGTCTAATTGCTGAACCCCAGAGTTTTATTCTCCTCTTATATATCCCCTGTCCTCGGACCCATAGGCCGCGGTTCACTTGGTTTGCGACAATTAAAATCCTGGCCGTTCATGACGCACGCAGCTTTGTCTGTAACCCTGTATACTGGATAGCAGCAGAGACTCAGTTTGCCATTACGCTTCATGATTTTTGTTATTATATCATCTCATAACAGTTTTTCAACTTGACTTCAGCATCTTTGCGGTAGCCATGACCGCTTCATCAAATCTACCGGGTGTGAACGGCGACACCAACGGTAAGATACTTCTCCCAGCCTCTCGTCATCTGAGAGCAAGATACAAGCCAATCGCATAAGCACAAACTAACAAATCCTTCCTCAGTCAGGCCAAATGACCATGGTAGACAAAGCGATGTATGGAAGCATGCTCCTGTCCTCATTGGCACTACCAAATTTGAGCCTCGCCCCGATGTTAAGAACATCATGATTACAGGCGGCGCTGGCTTCATGTGAGTTCCGTTCTGACTCGCCGTGCCAAGATCAGCTCCACTGACTATTCGTTTGTTCCTTCTGAAGCGCTTGCTGGGTCGTCCGCCACCTCACTCTGACATATCCACATGCCTACAACATCGTTTCATTCGACAAGCTGGACTACTGTGCTTCTCTTAACAACACTGGCATCCTTAGCGAATCACATAACTTTACCTTCTACAATGGCGATATCACCAATCCTGCTGAAGTTGTTGACTGTATGGAGCGGTACAACATCGATACCGTTCTCCATTTTGCCGCTCAATCCCACGTAGATTTGAGCTTTGGCAACTCTTATGGCTTCACGCATACAAATGTCTATGGGACACATGTTCTACTCGAGAGTGCCAAGAAAGTTGGCATTGGACGCTTCGTCCATGTGTCGACAGATGAAGTCTACGGCGAGGTCAAAGAAGACGACGACGACCTTCTTGAAACTAGCATATTGGCCCCAACAAACCCATATGCTGCCAGCAAAGCAGCGGCTGAGATGTTGGTCCAGTCTTATCAGAAGAGCTTCAAGCTCCCGGCCATTATCGTGCGCAGCAATAACGTATACGGTCCTCACCAATACCCAGAAAGTGAGTCCCCAAGCGGTAAAGGCGGGCCTGATATGCGTACAGTTACTAAATCTTGTCAGAAATAATACCCAAGTTCATATGTCTTTTGAATCGCCAGCGGCCGTTGGTGCTGCATGGGGATGGTTTACCGACACGACGGTATTTGTACGCTGGCGACGCAGCGGATGCCTTCGACACGATTCTGCACAAGGGCCAAATTGGCCAGATTTACAACGTAGGCTCACATGACGAGGTGTCCAATCTAGAACTCTCATCAATGCTTCTCGATCGAATGGAGATCTCACACGACACCCCAGAGCAGCTCCGCAAGTGGATCAAATACACTCGGGACAGGCCCTTCAACGACCGCCGATATGCAGTCGACGGGACCAAGCTAAAACGACTCGGTTGGGAACAGAAGGTATCTATAGATGAGGGCCTCAAGATCACGGTCGATTGGTTTACTCGGTTTGGAGAGTCTTGGTGGGGAGACATCAGCCACGTTCTTACACCCTTTCCTACGGTGAGCGATGGTGAGATGGTTCCAGACGATGCGCGATCAATGCGCGATGAACCACATGACTCGCAAGAAATTCAGCAAGGCAAGCTTCCGGAGCAACAGAAGAAGGAGGATGCCAATGGATGCCGAGACACGAGGAACGGAGACGGCATGAACGGAGTGTACCAAACTAGCGAGCGTCATATCGCTGTTTGATATGATGGCATTAAAGCAGAAAGTCCCGGGTTTAACGCATTTACTAAAGACAAGAGAGAAGAGAAAGACGAGAGGTGCATATTAGATACCAAGCACTGAGATGTTGATGGATAGACGAAGGCTGAAAGATAAGGCAGTGTTCTCTGCGAATTTAGAGATTTCTATAATAAAGATTTTTGGTTTATCTTTGGGTACATATTAATGTACATTTGCTGAAGGGGGGCAGAGGGAGTACGCACATAGATTATGATCTAGCGATATCTATTCGACAACACATTCATTTGTCAACAATATTGAGATATTTACGGACGGTTTCCTACTGCGTATAAGAACGCTGTACCATCAACTTGCTCACTATGTGTGATCGTAGGAACACGATGCAACATACATAGCCAATGGGGGAGATTTTATGACGACCTCTCCTGCATGATACATCGCCAGTCAGAAGCCAAAACGAGGCCAGTCAGGGGTCAATGGCAAGGTCGACGTTTCCATGGCCCCGGTATCTTCCCCGTCAGTTCCTACCTACGTATGCAGAGCAATACAATGCCAACACAGCATACATACCAGCAAGACCAGGCCAGCGGGTCGGGGAGACGAGTGAACTATTCCGCGGCGGCGGTCCGACAGTCTAAAACTCTGACAGCGCATAGAAAGAAAGGACCTGCGCGGTGAAGTTGGTTTCGCTCCGTTTAGCGAATAGGATCTCGGCGGGACGATCCTTTTTAGATGGATGCCCAACATTAAGCCGACCAACCTGCCGGGAATGTGGAAAACGTTTTCCGCTACCTGTGGTGGTACATGTGCTCTGTAGTATTATAGGTCCATCTCCGTACGTACCGTAACATACGATTCAAGTTTGGTGTTTGCAACGGAACTTTTGTCTAACTGCCGAGATACTGATAGACGGATGGATCTAATGCGAGGTAAGGTATGGAGGTGAATGCTGGTTAGAGTTTGCACTATGCGGAGAATGAAGAGAATCAATCACTTGAAAACAGGTTCGGATTTTCAAGTGACACTACTGACAATGAACGAACACAGGGGAGACACTAAAGAATTTGACAGGGCGGGACAGATTGAACTGGTGATAAGGGTCGAACAGCTACTAACCTACTAACCGAACCTAGTAGCTTTGTTGTTGGCACTAAGTCGACCATTCAGGAGAGGGCCTAGGGGAACGGGCCGCTTCGAGATCGATGGAAGCAAGTTGAATGTTGACAACCAACAACAATTCGCCATCTAACAAGCTGTAATGTCAACTAATAGCATTCTGGCCTGATCCTGTACCCAAAACGACGCTGAATCATCGTCAAAAACGGAGTCTGAATGCACAGTAGATACGGCACATGCTAACTATCCTAGTTCTCTTCTACGTTTTTAAATCCTTGGCCTAATGGGACGTTTTCTTTCCGAACAGGGTGGAGGTGGATAACTTATCCTGGTAAAGCATGACACGAGAGAATGGGGATGCGGGTAATTGTTTATCAAAGCAATTGTCTTCTTTTTATTTGTGGCATTGTATGTATATTCGAGAAACACCATCAATCAGTTATCAACTCCTTCTGGTGATGCATACTCTTGACGCCCTCACATACCTACATAAGTAGTTACGTATCAATCAATCAACTTCAACTCCATAACCCTTGGAACGCTAGACTTGGTGAATGGTGACCCGCAGCTCTAGTTTGGCAGTCAGTCAGTCCTATGATCCTCAATTAAGTCTAGTTTCTGTTGCAACCCCGAACCGACTGTTCGTTCCCTGGCCGTTTAAACGGATACTGCTGCGTTGCACCACTCCACCGCCGTGGGATGATGGGTCAGGTTTTTTCTCCCGTGATGGAGGAGGGTTAACTTTCTCAGGCCTCACAAAGATCGAGGTTGTCTGTAAAACAAAAGGCCTCGGTTGGGCTGGAATCCGTCGTGACAGCCCTGCAAGCTTCGATGTGGTAGTACGCACTTCAAGCTCGGAAGCCATAAAGGGTTACACCAGCACTAGATGTAAAACATACCTGGACTACTGTACCTTAGAAAGCGTAGGTGACCGTTCGATAGTGTACAAAGGCTTGTGGTCCAGGCCTTACCATACCTAGCTATACCACCGTTTTCTAACGTCGGAGCAACTTCAAGCCGAGAATAGATCACATTAAATACCGTACAGGACGGAAACACGAACATTAATCGTGCAACGTCGCTATATTATAAACATACTATAGTATAGGTACGGAGTTGAGCTGAGGAATGGATAAACCTCTCCACAGTTTGGTGGTCGACACCGTTGACTCGCAATTTAGTGACAGTAAAAGGCAAAAAGGCCGTTGGAGAGATGCAACGTTTGACAATACATACAGTAGTACACAAGAGCACACAGATACATGCAATCCAATTGGCTTATCTGAGGGAATATACTTTACATGGTCATCACGGTCTTCCCGCTGCCATACGTACATTGCCAAGCCAGTCTCTCGGTACTGTACAGTACTGTATTGGGCATTATGTACGTAGACAATGCAGCAAGGGATGACTTCTTGTCATGATACTTTCGAATCAATCAAGGTGGTAAGCACTATAATGTATAGCTGGCTACATGGTTGGGTTTCCAGTACAGCAAGCCTGCATGAAACATGCCGTGTCCACTACCCAGCAACTTCAACGCCAATTCGATCAAGAAACAGGCGTTATTAGGTAGTTAGCCTAACAGCTTGACTGACTTGTGACTGCAAATTACCTGACCGCAAACGTTTGTCGACCGGCCGGCATATCCCTGCCCTCTCTGCAGCGTAGCACTCCCTTGCTCCCGATCCTTGGATCACTTCCTCCACTTGCTGTGCTCCTCCACCCCAATTCGTGAGGAGCAAGAGAGCCTCGAGCTTCGAGACTATCTCTATTGGTCCCAGCAAGTTTGCTAGCTACAGTAGCTCGTCCTCCTTGCTTCTCCCCGGCTTATCCTTCAGACTGGGACTGGGACTGGAACTGGGACTGTCAATGGAGTCATTGTCTTTTCCGATTAACCAACTTGAGGTGTTGGGCTCTTTTCCCGCTCTTGCCTAATACTTTGATCAATGTCTTGACTATCCCACAAACATACCATATACATTTACTCTCTTATCCTGGTTATCCTCGACGGGTCCCTTTCCCGAAGACACTCTTGAGCCCTGATCCACGTTAACTTGACCAGTCTCCACTGGGCTCACGGACCTTTACCAATCCCCAGGTCCTCCTTCTTTAAGTCTTGGGTCCTCCACTCACTCATTCGTTCCCCTAGGCTCTTTTCCACAGCCTGTACTTATCCTAATTAATTGCTTTGTCTTTTCCGTTTGCGCTTCTACTTCAATCAAACACTTCGACTGCTCTTTGGGCTTTTCTTTTCCCGTGTGACGCTCGACAAGGACGACAGCATTACCAACTCGCCTACTATCATCAAACCTCCATCATAGCAGTAAGCATCAACCCAAACTTTGTCGCCCGCGCCGCTCGTTTCAGCCTCATTCTCCGAATTTAAGTCATGTCGCTAGTCATTGTCGCCTCCACCAGACTACGATAGTGCTGTTGTTGTTTTTGTTGCTTTTACCGCCATCTTCCTACATTTTATCTATTCTCTAGACGCCCATGGCCAAAAAGCGACGGTGCAAACCACGCAAGGGAACACCAGCACGTCACAACCAATCTCAGACGAGCACCATGTCCTCGGAGGACTCGTACGCTGTACAGAGCGGCCGACAATCCAGCGACGGGACACCAAGTGAGCATGCCAACAGTGACGGAAATAATACAGCCATGACCAGTATCGTGGGAACAGACGAGGAGCCTCATCATCACAATGACTCCGACCTCGATGAAGATGTTGACGAAGACGACATGATATCCATATACCCTGCCTCACAATACCCTGGAGTTTCTGCAGCCCATCAAGTTGAGACTCCATTCTCTCCGGACTCATATGCGGAAGACTTAGATATGTATGCAATAATGTCCCATTTTCGTCTTGTTCTTCTGCCATTTACTGACCTTGTTCTTAGGGCTGCATCAACACGATCATTATGGGCCCAAGATCTTGACTATAAAGAAATTCACGGCCGACGTTACTGTCGTGAATATTATATGCCAAACGACGACATCGAGCAATGGCGAATGGCTATACAACATCAAGTATTTATGCACGTACTCGACGGCGGGCTCACCCTTGCTCCGATCCAGAACCCCAGCCATATTCTCGATGTCGGTACAGGTACGGGTGAATGGGCGATCAAGATGGCCGAGCTACAACCGCAATGCGAGGTTGTGGGAACCGACATCGCTGCGATAGCGGAAACCAAGAGCGTGCCTATGAACGTATTTTTCGAAATCGAGGACGCAGAAGATTGGGACCGCCACCCGGATATATACGACTTGATTCACTTTCGACTAATGGAGGGCGCATTCCGGAATTGGAGCTTCGTGTACGACAATACTTACTTCTCCCTGAAACCCGGTGGTTGGATTGAGGTGCAAGACTTTGTCAGCGCTGAAGGTTTCATTCAATTTCTTTCACAGTTCCCAGACAACTCTCCCATGCATGAACTTCTGAGGGATCTCGAAATAGCTTCTGAAAAATCAGGACGCCCAAGAGGCACATATCATCTCGAGCCACGGTTACTGATGGATGCAGGATTTGTTGACGTCCGAGTAACAGAATACTCTATCCCTATTACAGTTGCCGAGGCGTCTGCGGGCAAAATCTGGCTCATCTCTTGCTTGGACGGCCTAGAAGCTCATTGCTTGCGACTTTTGACAGAGTATATGGACTGGGACCCTGAAAAGTGCAAACAAGCCTGCGAGGCGGCTGCGCGAGACTTGGCAAACGCTGCTAAAGACCCTATAAAATCAAAGGGTCTTCAGATTAAGATGCGTATCATTATTGGCAGAAAGCCCATGGATGCGCCCCGTACAGATCTGGCGGAACTCCTTGGGAGATGCCACTCGCCGGCTACAGAGCTTAACGGCGATTGTTCCAACCCTAC